CCCTTGAGGCCATTCAAGGAGTTGATGTCAAAGGCGAAAGAGCGCTTGTCGACCTCGGTGGAGACGGCAGTAGGAGCGGCGGCAGTGAGGGTGGCCAAGGCAGAGACGAGGATGGTGAAGGCCTTCATTTTTGCTGATTTTGTTGGGGTTTTTTTGGAGAGAACGACTTGCGAACGGTTGATTAAAGAGGTATTAAAATAGAGCACAGCTCAAAAATGTTCAAAAAATACCGAAGGAGTGGAGGCGAACAGCGAGCACAGCTGTCGATGATGCTTGGTTAGTATGTTTTGTTCTGATGATGTTTTGTTTACAAGATGATGATAATCATACCTCTGAAGAAGTGAATGACTGAAGGAGAAGGAGAAGCTGAATGGAAAGCTGAAGTTGTGTGTGGGATGGAGAAACAAAAACTCTGAGCAACGGGCTGTCAACCCGCCTTATATGTTGGAGACAGAGCAGTAGAGACGATGCAAGAGCCGCGCGCCAAGCATTCCACGGACTCGAGGTGTACTCGGAAGGGAGGTCCAGGACTCATCCGGTGCGTGTCAGATGTCAGGCGTCATCGAACGGAGCTGGCGGGTAAAACACCATGGACAGAGTTGTGCCAGCGTGAGCAGGGATGTGCAATGCTCACGATGCAGTGGCGGGAGGAGAGAGCCGAGAACCAGCAACCCCGTCAGTTCGGCAGGCCCACCTTGACTGGAGGAGGGGAGAGGTATGGTAGAAGAAACAGATCCGGAATGCGCTGTGGCCGGACTCATGGCCTGCCGCCAAGAGAAACATAGTTACGGCATTCTGAGGAGGTGGTCATCACGGTAGCATTGAGATTTCAAGGGGGGGCATAGTCCAGAACATGAGTTCCGGGTTAGGGGTGGGGGTTGTTCTCGATCATCTCGTGCTCGGCGAATATCCGTCTGATGTCTTCGAGACGGCGGAGGCAGGCTCCTGGGCTGCTATTCTCGTCTAGCAGAGACGAAGAGCCTTTGATTCCTGATCGACGCTAAGGATGAGGTGCTCGTTTCGCAGTGTTTCGAGGAGCCCAGCTTCAGCTGGAAGATTGCAGAAGCAATCTCGGGCGTTTTCTTTTGATATCCTGCAACGAAACCTGCATTCCGCAGACTTGAGAATTGCCAGGGCAGAAACGGAAACTTTGACTTCAACCAATCTCTGGCTAAGAAAATTGACACCCTTGATCCCAGCTACCAGAAGGGGTTCAGACGACACCCCATCAACTCCTTGTGGAAGGGGCGGTTCAACAGACACGGAAGGAAGAGGTGCCTGTGACCCTTCCCGAGGACAAAGCTCCCGCTGTCACGTCGGACTGAGTCTAATAACGAGCGCTTCTTGCTCTGCAGTCAGCAAGGTGGCAATGGTTGCGGAGCGGCCGATTAAACTTTGTCCAGGTACTCTGGTCATTTACCGACTGAGGTTAAACCCATGGCATTTGTTCTAGCCAATGCTGGCTAAATAGCGGGTCTTTGGTCGTGGGAGGAGGCTCAAAGAGATGTGACGCCGGTTCTTGGCTCGAGGTGGTGCGCCACCCGCAGCCAAGAGAAAACGGTGTGAGATGATTGGTCCCCCTTGCAGGTGAAGCCGTGCACCTGCAACACCACGACCGTGCGCTCATGCGCAGACTCGCTCAGATGTCGCAAGTGCGCGGGACGAGGCAGTGGCCATCCAGGGCATTGCTTTACAAGGCTTGGCTTCCGGAGCCGTGCGGCATCCGGACGGCAAGAACGAAGAAGGAGGGGCAACCTCAGACCGTTAGAGAGTCAGTGTTGGGCCAGTCACATCTGGGGGGGGGGAGCCACGCGATTGCACCGACACCATCAGGTACCGACCGACATATGTCTTTGGTTTTTTTTCTCGCTGGCGGGATTCATCTGAAGCACCGGTAACCCCTGTCCACTCAACCACCACCGCAGGCGCTGCTGGCTGTCATCGCATCATGGAGCAAACATGGCATACACGACGCAAGACGAAAAAAACAACAGATGTTTCGACTGATCTTTTTGAATTCTCAAATTAGCATCGCAAGGTTCCAAATCCATCTCAAGTCCCCGTCCAATCTAATTACAATCATGTGTCGGTAAAGAAAAAGAAACCAAGAAAATAAAGCAGCAAAAGTAGAAGCACCTCCAGCACTGGGCGACTGCCGAAGCTTGAAGTTCTGAGAAGCTCCATAGTCGCCTCAGCCGCCTCAGATTTACACCCCTGCCTTCCCCAGCTTATGTGGAGATGAGCTTCTTTCCGCCCAACCTCCCGTCTCCAACCCCAGGCCACATGTACCGGATGTCAAGCGGATGTTTCAATCGCAACGTTCAGTCCCCCGGCCCAGTCGAAGCTGGGGTAAACAGGCAAACCCCGTTTGGGACTTCCCGAGGCGGGGTCCAACAACAAGGGCGGCCATGCCCGTGGCCCGGAGATGCTGTCATTCTTCAACGTGTGAGATCGGACAGGTTCTCGACCGCATCGCCATCATTTCCCTCCGCCTCGTCCTCCACTTCCACCACCGGAACAGCGGTTGCCGCCGCGACAGGGGCTGATTCAACGACCGCGACAGGGGCGGCACTGGCCTCTACTTGAGCTTCAGCAGTAACTGCGACAGCAGCCACAGATGTCGTAGAAGTAGACGAGGCAGCAGCCGTGGCGGTAGCGCCGCTAACAACGGAGAAGGATCCAACCGAGGCAGCAGCAGTTGCTGAGGCCACAGCTGCGGTATCAAGAGTATTGCTCGCTTCCGCCGTAGCAATGGTCAAGCTAACCTCCAACCCGGGGTCTGCTGTGGCGATGCCGAGGACAGCATCATCGGCCGCAGCAGGGGCCGTGGCGATGGAAAAGGCAGTCTCCTCGACAGCCGCAGTGGGAAGAGCGGAATCTTCGTTTGCAGCCGTGGCGATGCTGAAGACTCCCTCATCCAGACCTGCGATTCCAGTCTGAATGCCGCCTCCAACCCCAGGGATTTCTTGAGCACATTGGCGCTTGACATTCGGCCCACGCCGCAGTACAGTTCTCTTCATGGTCTTCCTGGCTTCATCGATCTCGCGCTTGAATACACCTGTGGAACAAAACATTAGACAAGGTTCTGAAGTGATTGGGTCCCAGTGAAACACCGACCGAGGTTGAACCCTCCAAGAACCTGACCCTTGTTAAACAAGTTTTGGATGCCTCCTAAGTTGAGGAAACCCTGTTGTTGAAGCTGCTGGAGCTGAGCGAGCTGGAAGAACAAATCGACATCGTTGTTGAGTCCAAACCCCAAGATGTTGTTTCTGTTGAGTTGGTTACCCAGGCAGAAATTCTGGAGCAAAGCCTGGATTCCATCGACTACTGAGTCTTGGTTGCGAAGATCGATATTTCCGAGGTTGAAACCGCCAACGTTCAGGCTGTTGAGATCGAGGTTTCCCAAGTTTCCAAGGTTTCCGAGGTTTCCAAGGTTTCCGAGGTTTCCAAAATTTCCGGCTCCAAATCTCGATCCAACACCACCGAGGTTGAGGCCATTGGCGCCGAACTGAGCGGACACCAGGCCAGCAGAAAGCAGGAGAGCGAAGGACTTCATGGTGAGATATTTGTGTAAGAAACGAAAGTCTGCCTGCAAACAATTACAAAAAGAGCACAGCTGTGAATTGTTAGCATCTTTCCGGAATATGCCGAGATGAAAAAGTATGTTTACCTCTGAAATATTATTATATACTATGAAATGAAGAGAGAAAGAGTGACAGGGCTTGATGCATCGAAGATACCAGAAAACTAAAAGGAATCAAGAACCGCGAGGAACCAAGTAGATGATATAAAATAGCTCTTCTCTGTTTCAACATCTTGTCGACTGCCCTCTCTCCCCCCCTATGCTCAACATCCATCGCATGTATGCCTAGAACGGATCGTCACCAGCCGGGCGGCGGGACGAACTTGGGATGGCAGCCTCCTTCGTCGATGAAACAGGTGCCATGCTATTAAGCCGAGAAGATGGAAGTTGGCAAAAACCGTCACTTGGATCCGGCAAGGCTGATGTGTGTGTGTGTGTGTGTGTGTGTATGTGTGTATTTGTTACGCTAAGATGCTGACAGGAACACACCCACACCGCATTCCATGTATGCAGGATGGGTAGCAAGCCGTTACACATCCACCACTTTCATGGAATGTGTTGTAGATCCGTGGGCGGGTAAATTAAACAAAGGGGAGAGCAGAACCATGGTTGTCCCCCCGTAAAGGTGATGTTGAAGGTTCGGAAGATGATGTGCTCGCGACTCAACCAAAAGATTTGATAAGATTTTCCTTGGACAAGGTGGGAGAAGTTGTAATCATTGACAGAATATCCTCCTTTCCTTTGATGATAGACTCAAGTTTTGGCTCTAAATAATCTCCAACAATTACCAATAACCATCACGATAGACGTCAACAGCTCCCATCACAAGAACGATATCTGCGAGAAGAATCCGGAGGAAGGAAAAAAAAAAGTAGAAAAAGAAGAAAGCCAAGCTCAATGATCACCCTCCTAGCGTTCAACTCTAAACAAGCGGATAGGGTGACAGCCGGCACAAGGAGGTTTTGATCACCCCTCAAACTTGAAGGAAACATATGATTTTCCCAAACAAAAAAAAAAAAGAAAAAATTTGTGACTTTTTTTATGATTCTCTCCGTTGGTGTTTCATCATGACTTGTTTTTTTCTTCTTTTTTCTTCCCTTCCTTCCTCGACAAAGTGTCACCGAAGGACCATGTGTATGTGCATACAACTACGTACCTATGCCAAGCAGTACAGTACTGCACCCAATCATTGCAGATACGGATCTGTTCATGAACAACTACAGTTACTAAAAGCAACAGAGAAATTGGATGACTGATGAGTGAGGTAAAAATAAGCAAAAGGGAACCAACCCCCCCCCCCCCCAAAAAAAAAAAACCCCCCCCCAAATTAATCAACCAATCAATATACACTTGAAGAATGGTGGAATAAAAAAAAGAAGAAAGAAAAAAAGAGGGGGACAATAAGCAAAAGAATAATTGACAACTGTGAGATTCGAACTCACGCCCCTCTCGAGAACGCAATGCACTCTTTCTAAGAAAGAGAAGAATGGTGTTAAGATTCTTGAGTGCGTCGCCTTAGACCACTCGGCCAAGTTGCCTGTGTTATATTTATTAAGATTTTCCCGCGGGATTACGACCCGAGTAGGGAGCTGGGTTTGAACAGCAGGACTGGCAAGAAGGACTGCGATATTCTGGACGTTTGAATTTTCTAGTTGAATTTGTAAGGAGCCGGAAAACGACAACGAATTGTTATGATTTAGATTGTGAATGCCATACGTAGGCGAAAGCTCAATGAGGAGCTGCGATAGGGCATTTTTTTATTCTTATTATTTTTTAAATTTGGGGACTGCACCATGCTCCGGGCATATCCTGACGGCCGTATTCATGGCCGCTAGTCTTTTGTTTTGCTACTTTCCCTGCCCAGCCTGCCCCATGTACCGACCTGGAGTATGCTGCTTTTCATTCCCATGATACAACCCTACTGCGCTCCTCCCAGCGGTCAGATATGTATATATACAACAACGCCTTATCATAGTTTTACCCACAATAATCAAGCCCTCGTCAGCTTTCAGTCTTGGGCGTCTTTCCAACCCTCGGTCCATGAAATCCAAGCCATTCTCCCAAAATACCTCCCGGTTTTGGTACAGGGCACTCTCTCGCTGCAGAGGTTTGTGATGTCTTCTTGATCCCACTCTCAGCTGGTTGACCCTGGAACTGCACAATGCCGTCCTCTGATATCGTAGTCGTCGAGCCTTCCACTCCCTCGGATTTCCTCCTCCTCCTTCTCTTTTCCGGCATCTCGCCGTCTGCTAATGCTCGTCTCGGCGCAGGGCACGGAAGGATATGAGGCAGCGCAACAACGAAGAAGCTCGCAGCGATTGTGGTCGCAAATAGCGACGAGGTCATGCGCGACCTGGGGTGAAGGTGGGGTGGTGCCATGATTCGGGTTAGGTAGGTGTCTATCGTGGGAGGAAAAAAAGAAGGGCTGCTATTGCGCCAATTATAACATTAGCAACTTTTCTCCTGACTGACCTTGTGGGAACTTTGGATCAAAAACTTACCCAATTGCTTCAACCGGGCATGCTCAGACCATGACGCGGTCTTGAGTTGGGAATAGACTCCCAATTACGATGCTGCGGCCGGGTTTCCCGCAAAATAGCTACCTCTAGCTTTCAGTGTTTCGAGGTTCCGCCCAGCAACTGCTTGGGGATTTCTCGCCGAAACCTAGCTGTGAAATCTGCCCCACATCAGCCCGTCCTTGGGAGCTGCTTGTCAGGTGTGCATGCGTCACAGCAACAAGCTGAATTGGTTTTAAAGTGGGGTACGTACTTGGAGAAGCTGATGCACATTGCACAGACCATATTTTGTCGCGCCATCGCCGCCGAGTACTTGTATGAAGCATTTCTAAATCTAATACAACCAAGTATCTTAACTTTTCCCAAGAAAAACGGCATTTACATGTTGCCCTCGTGACTTTGTCACTTTGAGTTTACTCCTGGTATTGAGAGCACCAAGAAAAAATCTCAAAGTTAATTTTAGGACAGTTTTTATTACACCCCCCAAAAAAAAAACCAGGCCTGCGTCCTTCCCTTTCCCCCAAGTCCAATCAGTAATCTATTTGCCCCGCCACCGTCGCGCGACTCTCACACCCATCTTTTCAAGTATTTGTCTGTCACAAAACAAACAACAGCCTTTCTCCTATTAATCACATAACCCCCGCAACATCACTACAACACAGGTTATCCAAGATGAGCGATCTAGACAGGTAAACGCGCACGCTAGCTGTTTCAATTCGATTTTCCATTTCTGATGTTCTGCGCGCAGAGCGATTGCTCAACTACGAGCCTGCCGACCCATACCGGAAGCCGAAGTCCGCGAGCTCTGCCACAAGGCTCGAGAACTGCTCATCGAGGAGGGGAACGTAGTCACAGTCAACGCGCCGGTAACGATATGCGGCGACATTCACGGACAATTCCACGATTTGATGGAGCTCTTCAGAGTTGGCGGTGATGTACCTGACACAAACTACTTATTCATGGGTAACATACCCTTCTGCCCCCCCCCCCACCCCCTCCTCTTGACATCCCAATCTAACCTTTTGTTGTTGTTGTAGGCGACTTTGTGGACCGCGGTTTCTACTCCCTCGAATCTTTCCTTCTGCTACTCTGCCTCAAAGTCCGCTACCCAGACCGCATGACGCTCATCCGCGGCAACCACGAGTCGCGCCAGATCACGACGGTTTACGGCTTCTACGATGAGTGCTTGCGCAAATACGGTAGCGCAAACGTGTGGAGGTACTGCTGTGATGTTTTTGATTACTTGGCTTTGGGTGCTATTGTCTTGGGCGCATCAAATACTTTGCCGGGGACCCCGGCGGGGGAGGACGTCGAGATTGAAGTGTGTAACCCCGATCAGCAGATCATGTCGAGGTTTTTGAGGAGGGGGAGAGGTAGAGGGGCGGAGGGCAGTCCGAGTGGGAACGGGAACGGGAATGGGGTTACGAACGGGGTGAGCAGTACCAGTCCGACGCCGGCGAATACGGGACCACCGGGGTCGGGAGCGAGTGGATCTAGTGGCGGGTCGGTGGGCAATCCTGCGGGAGCCGTGTTGTGTGTACATGGAGGGTTGAGCCCGTTGATCGACAACGTGGATAAGATCAGGCTGCTGGATCGGAAGCAGGAGGTGCCGCATGAGGGCGCCATGTGCGATTTGCTTTGGTCGGATCCGGATGAGATTGATGGGTGGGGATTGTCGCCGAGAGGGGCGGGATTCTTGTTTGGTGCGGATATCGTCAAGGTTTTCAATCACCGGAACGATTTGAGTCTGATTGCCAGGGCGCATCAGTTGGTTATGGAAGGGTTCAAGGAGATGTTTGATAACAGTATCGTGACTGTTTGGTCGGCACCGAACTATTGCTACAGGTGTGGGAATGTAGCGGCGCTGTTGGAGCTGTCGGAGGACGATGCTGGGCTGGGGGTTCTGGCGAGGAGTAATGGAGACGTGAATAGGAGTACGGGGGGCGTTGTTGCTGGACCGAGAGGAGTGCTGATGGAGAATGATTTGGAGGATCAGGTTTTGCCTGGTCCTGCGAGGAGGTACAGAGTCTTCACGGCCGCGCCACAGGATTCGAGGGGGATGCCGGCTAAGAAGCCAGTTGCGGATTACTTCTTGTGATTTTCTGAAAAGGAAGAAATTTTTTGGGGGTTTATTGCGTGTTTGGGAGTTGTTCAGTTCAGCAAGGGAAGAAAGATTTTGATATTTTTGAGGTCGAGCGATACGATACACATTTCATCCAGGACACTAGGGGCAATTTTTTTTTCTGCGTGGTATTTACGACTTATACCCCATCAAATGGAACTGATATTTGGCATTTTATCTGGTACACATGTTTTTTCTTTCGGTTTGTTGTTTTGATTGACTATGTGCCTGTTGTGGCGAGTTTGGTGATGACGTCCCCAACTCTGCTGTCGTCAACTCGACAATTGCTGCCAGGCGCGCAGCCTAGGGATGCGCGTACTTCATGGGGGTTGGCGCCTGTCATCATGGATATGCTTGAAGGGTAGGTTGCCATCAGTATGTACAAGCGTTGCCAAGTTGATATTTTATCACACTTACAGGTCAGCCGCCGCCGAACAGTCATGCTCCGTGTCTTCATCCGCTTCCCCTTGATTTGGTGGCGCTCTTGAACATTCTTGCTCTTCATGCTGTACATGCACCTGCTGTGACCTGTGCGCCGCGAAATGAGCGGATGCCCCGTCGGCAGCCAAGTACTCAGCTATGCTGGCCTGGCTGACGCCGTGAAGCCCAAGCAGGGCCCGCAGCTTCTTGTTCTCCTCGGCAACCTTGCGGGCGGCGACTTGTACTTCGGCGGTGGCTTGGACGCCCCTGCGCTCGAAATCGCGGACGCGCTGTTCGAGCTCATCGACGTACTCCTTCCTCCGAGCCCGAGAGCGCCTCTGGTTGTCCCTTATCCGGGAGAGATTTCTGTTTCCATGCTGGACAGGCTTGGTGGGCATCTTTGATTAGCGGGCTTTTGGCTTCTCGGGGCGTTGATGGGTAAATAATTAAGTGGGCCACTCACAGAGGATGTGGTGGACATGTTTGCTTTTAGGGGAAAAACAAATGAAAATAAATGAACATGATACAAGAAATAATCACGACTGATAATTTTGATGTGGGGAATATGTTTATTGGGATTTTTTTGGGTCCAAAAGGGTAGGTAAATAGCTTCTTATGATATAATGTCTGATTCCGGATGAAGTCGGTGCTTCCCCCACGCGGGCCAAGCCGCCAAGATGTCCGCCATCCGTCTTGGCAGTCGGAGCCGCTCCCGGATTACGCTCCGGGTGGCTCCATAATTAAATGCGGGAGACAAATTACACAACCACCCCCCCCCTTCCCCCACTGCGGAATGAAAAGAGAAAAAAAAGTTGAGGGTGCTAATTTACACCTCCGGTAAACTTATCCAAGTCAGAGTGCTTGCTTACCACCTCGGTCAAGTTGAGGACACTCAAGCTCAAATCGTCATACGGTCCACCCGCGTCAAAGATTGCACCGCTCAGTACCATCAGGTGCTCCGGATGGTGCTCAAAGATGTGCAGCGCCCGGCTGTAGGCAGACGGCTGCGAGCAAGGATGCATTTCCCATTTGTCAGGGTCGCCGCCGAATCGGTTGGTGTACAGCTCATCCCTATCGGCGTCCGAAACGACGATTGTTCCGTTGGGCCCGCCGCTCGGCGACCACACCACATACGGCGACGCGTTGGGCGCGACCTTTCCTCCGATGACGATGGGTATGCCCGGGGCTGAATCAAACTCGGTCGGCTTGTCCGCGAGGCGGTAGTAGACGGGGTAGTTGACGCCGTGAGAACTCGAATTGCCGACCGGAAGCTCGTGGACCAGAATCCACTTCTTGATGGTCGGAATCTCGGCGACGACAGTCATGCCCGGACGCGCGAGGTACTCGTCGTAGCGGACGTCGTTCACCACCGGCCCCCAGTTGACGAGATCTTTGGATCGCTGGTGGGCGAGCTTCTGCCCGTGCAGGGGGTCTCGCTGGTCCGAGTAGTAGACAATCAGTTCGTGGTTGTACGTGAGCA